GTACGGCGAGAGCTATAACGTACTTAGTAAAGTGGTCAATCATAGCGACAATATATTTATTACCCGAGGCGGACGTATGTATCGGGCCTGTCAAATCAATATAAACTTTCTCAAATACGCCATTGGTGGTCACTGGAATCATGCGTTCTTTGTTCAGTTGCTGGGTACGTTTGCGCTGACAAGCCTCGCATGAACGCACCAGTAGATAAATTTTTTCGGACCTATGAGGCCAAAAGTATTTGCGGGCGATATTAGCTAGAGTTTTTCGCTAATGGAAGTGGCCCCCTGCCGATAGACTGTTATGAAAGGCCAGAAAAACAGGTTCCCTAAGTTTGTCGGGGACTACCAGCCGTTTGTAGCGAAATTTTGAGTGTGGAGCAGAGTCTACGTAATACAGGCATCCATTTTTTTTGATGACGCAGTGTTCGGCAAATTTGAGCAAAGATGCTTTCTCATCGTCAGGTATCTTCTGGAAAGCGCTGAGTCTGAAGGAATGACATGATGCGGGAGCAAAACTCGTCTGTCTTTTGCTCTAATAGTGCGTCATACGGTTTAATGGCAGCTATAGCACCTATATAGACAGTTGTAGGACGAAGGGAATAATTACTAGCAGTTACTTGATTGATACTTACGGGAAAATCCACGATATCATCGGATTTAGGGGTATCGTCTTGAAAACGAACGTGCTTGTCTGCAAATCGCGAAAGGGCATCTGCTACCACATTGGAGGAGCCCTTATGATACTCTATAGAGACGTTATAACCCTGTAATTCGACCACCCATCGTGCTAAATTATCACGGGTTTTATTGTGTTTCAATAAGAACGTGAGCGGACGATGGTCAGAATATACGGAAGTATGGTTACCTTAGATAATTGTGCGGAAGAATCTGAGAGCACTAATTATTGCAAATAGCTCAATATGCGTGGGGCTCCACTTCCACTGTGAATCGGAGAGAGCTTTACTAAAATAATCTACGGCCAAGAGGTGCCCATCGTCGTCGGATTTTTGAAAGAGAGTGGCGCCGACAGCTACTTGACTACCATCTGTATGAAGAAAAAACTCTTTGTCTTGTGGAAAGACTAAACATGGCTTTGAAAGAAGCGACGTTTTCAGCCGTTGAAAAGCCT